TCACAAAAAATATGCGCCCTGCCAGTTGCTCCCACGTGGCACGCTGCAGCCAGATGACCCACATTACCACACCTGTAACAGGTGCGCGGCTGTCACAGATACAGGCAGCGGAGCGTGTAACCCAACACGGACACAGATGACAGAACACTACTCTTCAGAGACATGGTCAGGGTGCGGGAGCCGTCAAGCATCCCAGCACAGTGCCCCGCAAGTACCTTGGTCCAACGAATGCTTAGCACAGTACCAAACCGTCCAAACACTGCAGTTAGGAGGTCGTCGTTAAACTCGAAGGGGGCACCACTCACCGACACATACGTCAAGGCGACGCTGAGGTTCACCACCTTAACAGAACCGGAGGCATCAGGGAGAGGGTAAACACGCCCCTCACACCGCCCCAGAAACGCCTGAAAGGCTCCTGATGGCGAAACTTGACAACAGCGCGGTTCCCCTGCAGCAGCTGGATGCCCACCAATTCCGACAACTGCACATGTAGAACATCCACCAGGGCAACACCAACCAACATGTGGTCCACAGGCACCGTAAAAGCCAGGGGCCAGATTCACGAAGCAGTTACGCAAGTACTTACGAACCTGTACATCTTTTCTCAATCTTTGGCGGCTTTGTTTGCAATTATTAAACAGTTAATGAGCTCGGAAGCACCAGGAGGCTGTTTATAACAATAACAACAGTTGATTGGGAAGTTTCATGCTTGTAAACTGTTTAATAAATGTAACCAAAGTCGTCAAAGATTGAGGAAAGATGTACACGTTCGTAAGAGCTTGCGTAACTACTTCGTGAATCTGGCCCCTGACCAGCCGACGAGGTCCTCTTCAATGGAAGCCGGTAAGTCCTTATGTCTCCAACAGACGTACCACGCCCACCCGGGGGACAACACCCCCCACAGCCGTCACGGACACCCTCCTCACACAGCCACTAGGTTGGAACTGGCGAGCGCTACGAACGACACGTCTGCACCCAACAACTGCCGACGAGCCAATCCATTTGTTAAACGAGTTGTCGAGTCGTATTCCGGGGTAAATAAAAAACGCTATGCGTGCTAGTAGCTTCACAACAATGTAAGAACTCTTGTATATATATGTATAAAAAGAAGAGTACGACAACAATTAATGCAGCTTTGGTATTGTGCACTTTCCAATAAACTGAGGGGTAAATTAATGGTTTTCTTTCCCTGACTGTACTAGGAGACAGGACCCACAGAGACCACATGTACTAGGAGACTGTACCCACAGAGACCACATGTACTAGGAGACTGTACCCACAGAGACCACATGTACTAGGAGACTGTACCCACAGAGACCACATTTACTAGGAGACTGTACCCACAGAGACCACATATACTAGGAGACTGTACCCACAGAGACCACATGTACTAGGAGACTGTACCCACAGAGACCACATGTACTAGGAGACAGGAGCCACAGAGACCACATGTACTAGGAGACTGTACCCACAGAGACCACATGAACTAGGAGACAGGAGCCACAGAGACCACATGTACTAGGAGACTGTACCCACAGAGACCACATGTACTAGGAGACTGTACCCACAGAGACCACATGTACTAGGAGACTGTACCCACAGAGACCACATGTACTAGGAGACTGTACCCACAGAGACCACATGTACTAGGAGACTGTACCCACAGAGACCACATGTACTAGGAGACTATACCCACAGAGACCACATGTACTAGGAGACTGTACCCACAGAGACCACATGTACTAGGAGACTGTACCCACAGAGACCACATGTACTAGGAGACTGTACCCACAGAGACCACATGTACTAGGAGACAGGAGCCACAGAGACCACATGTACTAGGAGACAGGAGCCATAGAGACCACATGTACTAGGAGACTGTACCCACATGTACTAGGAGACAGGAGCCATAGAGACCACATGTACTAGGAGACTGTACCCACATGTACTAGGAGACAGGAGCCATTGAGACCACATGTACTAGGAGACTGTACCCACCTGTACTAGGAGACAGGAGCCACAGAGACCACATGTACTAGGACTCATGACCCCACAGAGCCCACATGTACTAGGAGACAGGAGCCACAGAGACCTTCCCTACCCCCAGCTGGACCCATAATTATATACGCCATGTATCCTTTACTACCAGGCTTACCATAACATGTTGTGTACGACGGTATTTCCACCGTGTTAATCCTGCCAGGGGTGACGCTTCTAATTTGTTTTTGGAGCAGGAATGTGCAGATTATTAATTTTTTAATCTTTTGAATATTTTGTCGAAAAGAATAGTTGTTTTTGATAATTGTGAGTTGGCTTTTGAAAAATGGAAAAATGGACTTGACAACGACAAGCCTTTTAATCCTAATGATCGTTTTTGGAAGGTGAGCGATAGTTTGTGAGGGAAGAAGGAAGGAAATCATTTGTAGAATCGATGTTGTTTTCTGGTGACTTGTATAAGTCAAACAACATGGCAGGTAAATGTAGTTACTTCATACAGGCGAGGTAACAAGGTGGCCACACAGCGGATGGACATGACGTGACAACTGTATTAACTTGGCTGATGGCCACATTGTTGGCCAGTCATTTGGTGATTGCCTCCGAGGCTTCCATAAGGGCGTCCAGAACAACCCGTCCTCTTACATATAACGTCGCTTTTCGCCCGTATGCGCGAAATGGCCAAAAATGGACGTAATTTGAAATTAAATCGGCTCATAAAAGTAATGTACTGTCCCGTTTTCTGTTTGAGTCCTCTGGCTTACTCGGCAAGTTAGGAGAGGAAACTTTCAATTAACGTTTTTTATAACGTTTTGAAACTTGAAGAGAATTTCCTGCTCTCCTAACCTACCAGAGGACCCTTAACTTGCTGTTTTGGAAAAAAAATCCAAATTTATTTTAATTTTTTTCATTTTCAAATTACGTTAATTTTCGGTCATACGGGCAAACGGCCAAATTCAGACGTAATTTGTAAGGGAACAGGTTGCCCAGAGAGCGAGGCCCAATCATATGCCAGCCCGTTCTCTAGAATGGCCACTCCATAAACAATCCAATCTCCTTACCTAGCCAGACACATACGAACCCAAGCAACCCACCCAACCTACTGAGTCTCATGCACTGAAAACCGAGATGTTTGTTAGCTTTTGCTTGTTAGAGTAAGATGCTTTTGTAATGTTGGTTACTGTAACTTAAACAAGGCGATCTACTAGTTGAGAAGATGGGTTGATTGTGACATTACTTCCAATGGGAGCCGGTCGGCCGAGCGGACAGCACGCTGGACTTGTGATCCTGTGGTCCTGGGTTTGATCCCAGGCGCCGGCGAGAAACAACGGGCAGAGTTTCTTTCACCCTATGCCCCTGTTACCTAGCAATAAACTAGGTACCTGGGTGTTAGTCAGCTGTCACGGGCTGCTTCCTGGGGGTGGAGGCCTGGTCAAGGACCGGGCCGCGGGGACACTAAAAAGCCCCGAAATCATCTCAAGATAGTTATAGGACTATAGTACTTTGCTCGCTGCTCTCTCCTTTCTTCACCCTACTTTCTCTCATTCTCTCACCTCTATTTCTCTCATTCCCTCCTCCCCTCTCACCCTCCTAACCTCATTTTTATTTCTCACCCTGCCGAGCGCTTTCTCCCTCGCTCATTTCCCATCTCTCCCCCTACTCATCCCTCTTCCTTCGAAACTCCTTCCCTTCCATTTCCCCTTCCTCAATTCCCTGTCACACTGGGCAAAGCAATACCCCGGGATTCCTTCCCAGATGATGCGCCCCGCCCTTCCTTAAAGTATTAATTACCTTCAGACAGTTATGCATAAATTATTAACATTATAAATATAATTTGAAAAGGAATTTGGATCCCAGGTCTTTGCAGCGCGAGGTCGAGGTCGATCCACTCTGCCAAGAGACCTCAGGTGTACACCATGGCAGCATGGGGCCCCTAGAATCGTGGGGCCCCTGGGCCCAGTGTGCCCATATCTGCAGACTGCACTAGACTTACCCTCTCTTCCTTCCTCCCACAACACTTACATTATGGCACAATACCAACCTTCAGGTCTACACTTGTCAACTGAACTGAGAGTTTCTAGACCCACTTCTTCTCACCCGTTTCCCCCACACCTTCTCTCTTCTCTCCCCCCCAGCTCGTCCTCCAAACAAAGATCCAAAGGTGATTCCATGCACCCGCCAAACCCCCTGTTTATGAATGAAAAGTGGTTTACACACGACTCACAATTGCTGACGTTCGAACATATCCGGAACATATGCTTCACTGACGAATTTTGTTCGAATCACAACGCTATAAATGCTTCACCCACGTACTACAAATACAAATAATCCCCAATAGAACCTAAACACGTAACCTAACCTAACATATGCCTATATATGTACAATATGCCAATATATTATAATATTAATTTATATTTGAGAAAATTCCCGTTTTGAAAGAACGGCATGTAAAAATTTATGAATGCGTCTGTGGGGTCGACCGCTGGATGGAATGGACTTGAGTCGAGGACGGGTTACGTGTTCCAGTCTACTATTATTGTTTGCATTCTAGCTAAAGAAATACAGATGGGAGGGAGGAGTGGGAGGGGGTGAGTGTGTGAGGGGACGGAGTGAGGAGGGGTGTGTGTGGGAGGGAAGGGAGGGAGGGAGGAGAGAGTGGGTGGGAACACACCAACCCGTTCTCGCACTTTCGTACAGTCAATATTGACTTATTAAATAAGTGCATATGTGACATACTAATTTATTGTGAATATTTTAGTTTACCTTGAAAAGCTTCATAGAAAACACCGACCTTACCTAACCTTCTTAGTATGTTAAGATAAGCATCTTATTGCTTCTTAATTACAATTATTACTTAACCTATACTTATAATAGGTTAAGTAAGAACACATAGTTGATCAGATTTCAGTGACATCATTATATTACTATTGAGTGTGACGTCGGTGGCCCGGGGGGGGGGGTGATCATACAGTGGACACTGCATACTAGTGACCACCAGCGTCACAATGTGGTCAACGTCAGAATTCGACATCTTGAAGTCCCATAACATCAGTGTGTTGGTTGAGCCAGCGTCACAAAACCCGGCCGCCCGCACCAGGCCGCCCGCACCAGGCCGCCCGCACCAGGCCGCCCGCACCAGGCCGCCCGCACCAGGCCGCCCGCACCAGGCCGCCCGCACCAGGCCGCCCGCACCCGGCCGCCCGCACCAGGCCGCCTGCACCAGGCCGCCCGCACCAGGCCGCCTGCACCAGGCTGCCCGCACCAGGCCGCCTGCACCAGGCCGCCCGCACCAGGCCGCCTGCACCAGGCCGCCCGCACCAGGCCGCCCGCACCAGGCTGCCCGCACCAGGCCGCCCGCACCAGGCCGCCCGCACCAGGCCGCCCGCACCAGGCCGCCCGCACAAGGCCGCCCGCACAAGGCCGACCGCACCAGGCCGCCCGCACCAGGCCGCCCGCACCAGGCCGCCCGCACCAGGCCGCCCGCACCAGGCCGCCCGCACCAGGCCGCCCGCACCAGGCCGCCCGCACAAGGCCGCCCGCACCAGGCCGCCCGCACAAGGCCGACCGCACCAGGCCGCCCGCACCAGGCCGCCCGCACCAGGCCGCCCGCACCAGGCCGCCCGCACCAGGCCGCCCGCACAAGGCCGCCCGCACCAGGCCGCCCGGGATAATTAAAAAAGTTACCGGCCTGACTTGGATTTTAGTGAGCTTGAGCGTTCAAGACGACGGACACCATTTGTAAAGCAATCTTACTCCTTTACGTGTGTGTGCTCTCAGCTTTTACAGGTTGGAGGAAGGAAAGATGGCTCTTATAGAACACCGCATTATTAATCTTCACACGGAACTGGTTACCAAAGCTGACTTCAAACTTTGAAGTCGGTGTCTGGGGTTGGTCTGGAGGTCGGTGTCTGGGGCTGGTCTGGAGGTCGGTGTCTGGGGCTGGTCTTGTGGTCGGTGTCTGGGGCTGGTCTTGTGGTCGGTGTCTGGGGCTGGTCTTGTGGTCGGTGTCTGGGGTTGGTCTGGAGGTCGGTGTCTGGGGCTGGTCTTGTGGTCGGTGTCTGGGGCTCGTCTTGTGGTCGGTGTCTGGGGTTGGTCTGGAGGTCGGTGTCTGGGGCTGGTCTTGAGGTCGGTGTCTGGGGCTGGTCTTGTGGTCGGTGTCTGGGGTTGGTCTGGAGGTCGGTGTCTGGGGCTGGTCTTGTGGTCGGTGTCTGGAGCTGGTCTTGTGGTCGGTGTCTGGGGTTGGTCTGGAGGTCGGTGTCTGGGGCTGGTCTTGTGGTCGGTGTCTGGAGCTGGTCTTGTGGTCGGTGTCTGGGGTTGGTCTGGAGGTCGGTGTCTGGGGCTCGTCTTGTGGTCGGTGTCTGGGGTTGGTCTGGAGGTCGGTGTCTGGGGCTGGTCTTGTGGTCGGTGTCTGGGGTTGGTCTGGAGGTCGGTGTCTGGGGCTGGTCTGGAGGTCGGTGTCTGGGGCTGGTCTTGTGGTCGGTGTCTGGGGCTGGTCTTGTGGTCGGTGTCTGGGGCTGGTCTGGAGGTCGGTGTCTGGGGCTGGTCTTGTGGTCGGTGTCTGGGGCTGGTCTTGTGGTCGGTGTCTGGGGCTGGTCTTGTGGTCGGTGTCTGGGGCTGGTCTGGAGGTCGGTGTCTGGGGCTGGTCTTGTGGTCGGTGTCTGGGGCTGGTCTGGAGGTCGGTGTCTGGGGCTGGTCTGGAGGTCGGTGTCTGGGGCTGGTCTTGTGGTCGGTGTCTGGGGCTGGTCTTGTGGTCGGTGTCTGGGGTTGGTCTTATGGTCGGTGTCTGGGGCTGGTCTTGTGGTCGGTGTCTGGGGCTGGTCTGGAGGTCGGTGTCTGGGGCTGGTCTTGTGGTCGGTGTCTGGGGTTGGTCTGGAGGTCGGTGTCTGGGGCTGGTCTTGTGGTCGGTGTCTGGGGTTGGTCTGGAGGTCGGTGTCTGGGGCTGGTCTTGTGGTCGGTGTCTGGGGTTGGTCTGGAGGTCGGTGTCTGGGGCTGGTCTTGTGGTCGGTGTCTGGGGCTGGTCTTGTGGTCGGTGTCTGGGGCTGGTCTTGTGGTCGGTGTCTGGGGGCTGGTCTTGTGGTCGGTGTCTGGGGCTGGTCTTGTGGTCGGTGTCTGGGGCTGGTCTGGAGGTCGGTGTCTGGGGCTGGTCTTGTGGTCGGTGTCTGGGGGCTGGTCTTGTGGTCGGTGTCTGGGGCTGGTCTTGTGGTCGGTGTCTGGGGCTGGTCTGGATGTCGGTGTCTGGGGCTCGTCTTGTGGTCGGTGTCTGGGGCTGGTCTGGAGGTCGGTGTCTGGGGGCTGGTCTTGTGGTCGGTGTCTGGGGCTGGTCTTGTGGTCGGTGTCTGGGGCTGGTCTGGAGGTCGGTGTCTGGGGTTGGTCTGGAGGTCGGTGTCTGGGGCTGGTCTTCAGCCAGTAAGTGTATTTATATATATACAAAATCATTCTTGTAAGCTTATTCCAGGTTATGGAAATAACTTTCTATAAATTAAACAAAAGCTTGCTTTATCAAGTGAATTCAACTGGAGTAATCATGTCAGTTTGCCAGCATCCGCTTGCAATGAAAGGCAGCTCTGTGGCTTGAAGGAATAAATGAACCCGTCTTGTGATAAAACATGTAGAAAATATGTAAGAGATTTTGACCAAATATGTAATTTTGGCCAAAATTATAGTCCACAGTTTAAGGCTTACTACTGACAGTTGACAAAATGGTTGGTAAAACTTACGAGAGGGAAAGAAACTCAACATATCTTAGACCTGAGCTAACTTGAGATTAACTTAATTTCCTAAGCGTAATATATTACATAACTGTACTAAGTTTAGCCTAGAGTTGGTTTGGTTTTTCTCCTCGTGATGTGACCTATAGTTTCCGCAGCATCATTTTGCCTGGCAATACGACATTCAACACTGCAACCTTTGCCAGGTTCTGTACGTGTGCACTTAGTCACAAAAGGTTTAGCTCCTCTATTCTTATCTCATAAATCATTCCTCTCGCCTCTGGAACTAGTGTTATGGCTGATCTCTGGGCTTTCTCCAGCTTCGATTTGTGCTTAACGAGATAAGGACTGTATGATGGTTACACACATTGATCACACTAACGTGATGCATCAAATGAACAAATCCACAAGGAACTGTAGAACTTTTAACCCTGTCGTAGCTCAGTCGATTAAGGCAGTGTCTGGGATGCTCCCGGACACAGGTTCGAATCCTCGTCACGGCCCTTGTGGAGTTGTTCACTGTATGATGGTGCTGCATCATCCAAAACTAATCAGATTCATGTGCTTCACGAGGGCCCAAATAACTCTTACGTACGGATATGAAGGGCAGGTCTTATGCTGGCCATCCTTGCATGTGCCGCTGGAGATATTATGTGGGCATGTGATGACATGCTTCGTGTTAACTCCAGGACTTTCTTTCGTTTCAATTCCAGGATGATTTTCTTCCCCATTTGGAACCTTGTGTCCGGCATCTTATTTCTAGCTTCCAGCTTCATTACTTTGCATTTGGACGATTTAAACGTTAGTAGCCACTAGTTGGCCCATGCTTTCAGATTATCCTTGTCTTCCTATAGTTTATTACAATTTTCCATGATATATATTGTCTTCAGAAACTTTTAATCATCTGAAAGCATTGGGAAGAATAGAGTCTTCTTCCTCTGGTAAGTCATACACGTAGATCAAGAAGAGTGTTGGTTCCAGTACTGGCCCTTGCGGGATGTCTGGAGGTCGGTGTCTGGGGCTGGTCTGGAGGTCGGTGTCTGGGGCTGGTCTGGAGGTCGGTGTCTGGAGCTGGTCTGGAGGTCGGTGTCTGGGGCTGGTCTGGAGGTCGGTGTCTGGGGCTGGTCTGGAGGTCGGTGTCTGGGGCTGGTCTGGAGGTCGGTGTCTGGGGCTGGTCTGGAGTTGCATCTCGCCACTCTGAGCGCCTTTACCTCAGGTTGAGGATCTTCCTTATCTACTGTAGCACCTTCACTAGCACTATTGCCTGTTCCTCTGTCTTGTGCAATAGTCTCCTGCGGGGCACCGTTTCGACGGCTTTCTGACAAAACAGAAAAATTATATCAGCCCACCATTCTTTATCTTGTCTGATCTGTGTTAGAAGGTCACAGAACTCTCCATTCAGTTTGTGAGGCAGGGTTTGCTTCAGGTGGTGGTGTTATAAAGGCACTTCTTGATATTCAAGTAAAGGTCAATAACTTGTAGCTAAAAGTTTCCTGCTACAGCTACACTCTCCTATATATTGGTACTATACTCTATGTATTACATAGTTCTGATGTTTACATTGACTCGTATGTAAAATAACTGGCCAGTACAGGGGTTCCGCTCCTTCTCTTAGTATCCATGGTGAAATCCTGTCTGGTCCCACCACCCTAGTTGCGTTCAGAGTCTGCAGGTACCGTCTTACTTCATCTCTGGTTATCTCAAAGTCCTCCAGAAATGCTTGGTTTGATTCCATCCCATTCAGATCAGGAACCACCTCACCCTCCATTGTGAAGACTAACTGGAATCTCCCGTTGAGTTCCTCACCCACTTCCCTGTCATTATAAATGCAACCTGTACTACAAAATTATATTACCTATAGCGACTGTGAAATATACAAAATATGGACTGTTTCGACTATATATTTATTTTATATATTTTATAAAGGGCCTGAGATTGAAGACAATTTCCAAACCTTACTTTTTCTAGCCATGTACGTATATGTGCTAAAATAGACCTAAACAGCTTTTATTAGCCCTAAGATTAATTGTTTAGGTTACTGTTATAAAGTATGATTTTTTTTTGTTGTGCTTGTTACAGTCCATATTTTGCACGTTCTGTCAAGTGTCGCTAAATGTATCAATAATTCTGGAGAAGAGATTAGAAAATGAGTTCTCTCACATCCTGTGTTAGCGTCTGTTCTTTGACTGTTGCTTCCGCTCGAGACGCAAGTGTAGACTCCGTATTGCACGGAGGTGTGGTGGCAGGTGGTCGGTGGCAGGTGGAAGGTGGCAGGTGGTCGGTGGCAGGTGGTCGGTGGCAGGTGGTCGGTGGCAGGTGGAAGGTGGCAGGTGGTCGGTGGCAGGTGGAAGGTGGCAGGTGGTCGGTGGCAGGTGGCAGGTGGTCGGTGGCAGGTGGCATGTGGTCGGTGGCAGGTGGCAGGTGGTCGGTGGCAGGTGGCATGTGGTCGGTGGCAGGTGGCAGGTGGTCGGTGGCAGGTGGTCGGTGGCAGGTGGCATGTGGTCGGTGGCAGGTGGTCGGTGGCAGGTGGTCGGTGGCAGGTGGAAGGTGGCAGGTGGTCGGTGGCAGGTGGCAGGTGGTCGGTGGCAGGTGGCAGGTGGCAGGTGGCATGTGGTCGCTTTAGATGTCCTTTCAAATTTATTTTTACATTCTCTAAAAAATCTATTAAATCTATAAAAACAAAATGCCTATTGAGTTTTATCCACGGCCTTATATATATATATATTGTGACAATAATCTCCTTCAAGAGATTGAGCCTGCTCTTCCCTCCACAAACACGTCGTTGAAATTATATAAAACGACTATGGAAGACATGTCCAACAACAACAACAACACCAGCAAGGCTTGCCAGGGTGAGCAAACATATGCAGCCAGCCACCTGTTCGGACTCAAACCACCAAACTACATGTTGATCGCTACCGGCTCCGCTGATTGGTCGCCGGTCTGGCTGCACCTGCACTCGCCCCCCCATACTACTTGATGTCTGGGGTCGCCCCAACCTCCTACGGCAGAATGTTCAGTGCTCTCGTTGTCACCACTCCTCCCGGCTAGACGCTAGCGTGTACTGAGAGAAGTGGTGGCTTAAAGCCAATATTCCAGCACCTCCCATTTACTTGTATATTGCACTTCTTGTTATTTTGTCTTAACGTAACTTTTCATTGTGTCATTTAATTATTCTTATTATTTTGATTGATTTTATTATAAGAATTTGTTTGTGCATTTTATTCATGTTTTGATTTAATTAACGTAATTAAAATTTCATTGTTAAAGTTTACTTGTGTTTTGTGTGTCTTCTCCTTACCTTACCACAGACGAAGTTCCAGTTTTTTCTATTTTTTTTTATAACTATGTGACGAGGCCATACCCCTAGCCTTAAACAGCCGAACACCAACGCGTTACCGTCACAATATATATATATATATATATATATATATATATATATATATATATATATATATATATATATATATATATATATATATATATATATATATGCCTTAGACAGAAAGAGATCCCAACACATCCTTCGTGTCAAGTTTTAAATATGGTTTTAAATCATTTCATTAATTAAATTTGTAATGAGCTTGAATTTTATGTAATGTAAGATAAGCAATTCCATATTGGCTCATTGTCAATTCCGAGATAGTGACCACTCTTCACAACTTACGGTATAGTCAAGCAGCTTCAATATTTGTAAATGTTTAAGTCATTAAAGATAATTTACACGGGTAGTTAAGGCAATTTGCCCAAGATAATAAATTAGCGTGACTCTGGAACAAGTTGAGCAGGTCGGTGTCACGAGGTATACATTGATTACCGCAGCTTCAGCTGCTCCTCCCTGGAGCTGCTTAAGACAATCTATAATGCTTTGGAAGAAGTATAATTAAACCGAATATATTGCTTCAGGATCACTTGATAATGTATTCATAAAGTTTATGCTTAAAGTTTTAATTAGAGTCAATAGATTACAATACGAGCGCACGCTGGCACGCACGCACGCACGCATATCTAGTGAAGCATAAGACTAAACTGGAAAAGGTTCAGAGGTTTGCCACCAGACTAGTACCCGGGCTGAGAGGTATGACCTACGAGGAGAGACTACGAGAAATAAACCTCACGTCACTGGAAGACAGAAGTTAGGGGGGACATGATCACCATGTACAAGATTCTCAGAGGAATTGACAGGGTAGATAAAGACAGGCTATTTAACACAAGGGGCACACGCACTAGGGGACACAGGTGGAAATTGAGTGCCCAAATGAGCCACAGAGATATTAGAAATAATTTTTTTTTAGTGTCAGAGGGATTGACAAATGGAATGAATTAGGCAGTAATGTGGTGGAGGCTGACTCCATACACAGTTTCAAGTGTAGATATGATAGAGCCCAGTAGGCCCAGGAACCTGTACACCTGTTGATTGACAGTTGAGAGGCGGGACCAAAGAGCCAGAGCTCAACTCCCGTAAGCACAAATAGGTGAGTACGCGCACACACCACCACACACACTCACACTCACACACACTCACACACACTCACGCACGCACACACACACTCACACACACACACACACACTCACACACACACACACACACACTCACACACACACACACACACACACACACACACACACACACACACACACACACACACACACACACACACACACACACACACACACACACACACACACACACACACACACAGAGGACTGACCCCTGCGGGACTCCACTTGTAACGTCTCGCCAATCTGAGACCTCACCCCTCAGATTGACTCATCTCCTAAGCAACAGGAGACAACGAGTCAGTGTGAGGGGGTGAGGTCTCAGATTGGCGAGACGTCACCAGTGGAGTCCCGCAGGGGTCAGTCCTTGAACCTATACTGTTTCTGGTATATGTAAATGATCTCCCAGAGGGTATAGACTCGTTTCTCTCAATGTTTGCTGATGATGCAAAAATTATGAGGAGGATTGAAACAGAGGATGATAGTAGGAGGCTACAAGATGACCTAGACAGACTGAATGAATGGTCCAACAAATGGCTGTTAAAGTACAACCTGAGTAAATGCAAAGTAATGAAACAAGGCGGTGGAAACAGGAGGCCAGACACAGGATACAGAATAGGAGATGAAGTACTTAATGAAACGGACAGAGAGAAAGATCTAGGAGTTTATATCACACCAAACCTGTCTCCTGAAGCCCACATGAAAAGAATTACGTCTGCGGCATATGCGAGGCTGGCTAACATCAGAACAGCTTTCAGGAACCTGTTTTTTTTTTTTCACCCTCAGGAACCTGTGTAAGGAATCATTCAGAATCTTGTATGCCATATATGTAAGACCAATCCTGGAGTATGCGGCCCCAGCATGGAACCCGTATCTTGTCAAGCACAAGACGAAGCTGGAAAAAGTTCGAAAGTATGCCACTAGACTAGTCCCAGAACTAAGAGGCATGAGTTACGAGGAAAGGCTGCGGGAAATGCACCTTACGACACTGGAAGACAGAAGAGTAATGGGAGACATGATCACTACCTACAAAATCCTCAGGGGAATCGACCGGGTTGACAAAGATAAACTATTCAACACAGGTGGTACGCGAACAAGGGGACACAGGTGGAAACTGAGTACCCAAATGAGCCACAGGGACGTTAGAAAGAACATTTTCAGTGTCAGAGTAGTTAATAGATTTTTTTTTTTTGAGATATATACAAGAGTTGTTACATTCTTGTACAGCCACTAGTACGCGTAGCGTTTCGGGCAAGTCCTTAATCCTATGGTCCCTGGAATACGATCCCCTGCCGCGAAGAATCGTTTTTTCATCCAAGTACACATTTTACTGTTGCGTTAAACAGAGGCTACAGTTAAGGAATTGCGCCCAGTAAATCCTCCCCGGCCAGGATACGAACTCATGACATAGCGCTCGCGGAACGCCAGGCGAGTGTCTTACCACTACACCACGGAGACAGATGGAATGCATTAGGCAGTGATGTGGTGATGTGGCCCTCCACCCCGCCCCCGGCACCCTCCACCCCGCCCCGCCCCGGCACCCTCCGTCCCGCCCCCGGCACCCTCCGTCCCGCCCCCGGCACCCTCCGTCCCGCCCCCGGCACCCTCCATCCCGCCCCCGGCACCCTCCACCCCGCCCCCGGCACCCTCCACCCCGCCCCGGCACCCTCCACCCCGCCCCGGCACCCTCCGCCCCGCCCCGGCACCCTCCGCCCCGCCCCGGCACCCTCCGCTCCGCCCCGGCACCCTCCGCCCCGCCCCCGGCACCCTCCACCCCGCCCCGCCCCGGCACCCTCCACTCCGCCCCGCCCCGGCACCCTCCGTCCCGCCCCCGGCACCCTCCGTCCCGCCCCCGGCACCCTCCACCCCGCCCCCGGCACCCTCCACCCCGCCCCGCCCCGGCACCCTCCACCCCGCCCCGCCCCGGCACCCTCCGTCCCGCCCCCGGCACCCTCCACCCCGCCCCGCCCCGGCACCCTCCGTCCCGCCCCCGGCACCCTCCGTCCCGCCCCCGGCACCCTCCACCCCGCCCCCGGCACCCTCCACCCCGCCCCCGGCACCCTCCACCCCGCCCCCGGCACCCACCGCCCCGGCACCCTCCGCCCCTCCCCGCCCCGGCACCCTCCGCCCCGCCCCGCCCCGGCACCCTCCGCCCCGCCCCGGCACCCTCCGCCCCGCCCCGGCACCCTCCGCCCCGCCCCGGCACCCTCCGCCCCGCCCCGGCACCCTCCGCCCCGCCCCGGCACCCTCCGCCCCGCCCCGGCACCCTCCGCCCCGCCCCGTCCCGGCACCCTCCGCCCCACCCCGTCCCGGCACCCTCCTCCCCGCCCCGTCCCGGCACCCTCCTCCCCGCCCCGTCCCGGCACCCTCCTCCCCGTCCCGGCACCCTCCTCCCCGCCCCGGCACCCTCCTCCCCGCCCCGGCACCCTCCTCCCCGCCCCGCCCCGGCACCCTCCGCCCCGCCCCGCTCCGGCACCCTCCGCCCCGCCCCGCCCCGGCACGGCCTCCGCCCCGCCCCGGCACCCTCCACCCCGCCTCGCCCCGGCACCCTCCGCCCCGCCCCGCTCCGGCACCCTCCGCCCCGCTCCGGCACGGCCTCCGCCCCGCCCCGGCACCCTCCACCCCGCCCCGCCCCGGCACCCTCCACCCCGCCCCGCCCCGGCACCCTCCGCCCCGACCCGCCCCGGCACCCTCCGCCCCGACCCGCCCCGGCACCCTCCGCCCCGACCCGCCCCGGCACCCTCCGCCCCGACCCGCCCCGGCACCCTCCGCCCCGGCCCGCCCCGGCACCCTCCGCCCCGGCCCGCCCCGGCACCCTCCGCCCCGGCCCGCTTCGGCACCCTCCGCCCCGGCCCGCCCCGGCACCCTCCGCCCCGGCCCGCCCCGGCACCCTCCGCCCCGCCCCGGCACCCTCCGCCCCGCCCCGGCACCCTGCGCCCCGCCCCGGCACCCTCTGCACCTTTCAACAATCTTGGCTCAACCAAGATAAACATAACAAATGAAGGTAGTTATTACTGGGACATCTTAGAACTCTCCTGAAGGCCAGAGCTAATTAACTCCGGCGATGGAGACGCTTCTCTTAGTGTCTCCCGAGGCCTCGGAATATCAAGGTCAACACTCACTTCTGAATAGTTAAGAATTTATAGAGAATTTTTTTCTACTTCTTTGGTTTCATTTTTTTTTTATTTGATGCTCAAGTTTAGTTCATTTTGTCCAAGGCTGGAGGCTAGACGCAGGGTCTAACCTCACCCAAATTTACAAAGGGGATTGGTCTGGGGTTCGGGCCGAACATAGGTTAGTCGGGGTAAAGTTAAATTCTTTCAGGAATATTAACATTTATACACCCCTATGTGATTTTCCTGGCGTCGAGTACGAAATATAGTGAGAGTTCCTCCTAGAGCTTAGTGCTACGTAGTCGCTATGGCTTAGCGCTTTCTCCTGATAATTATCCCCCTACAGTTTTTAGTGATCATAATATATTATCTCAGACCCATACACTTGTTTCAGTGCTTCTTAACAATACACTTTGTGAGATAATGGGGAGAGTGGGAGGACAAGCAGAGGGATCACATAGATGGGAGAGAGGACGACCAAGGGGATGGGACGAGAGGGAGATGGGTTGAAGTGTGGACACTGGGCCAGCCAAGGTCTGGCCCATACCTCAGACCATTCACCTTGGAAAGTCAGGAGAGGCTTGCCTCAAGTGTCTGGCCTCTAACCCTGCACGGACAGATATTCTCTCTTATAGGTATCGAATGTTTGTCTCTGTGGCCCAAAGTAGGAGGCCAGGCCTTGGGGCTCACTTAATATTCCAAGTTAACACATGAGATGTATGTCATAAGCCTGTCGAGGTCGGCCCGAGTGCCACACTTAAGAAATATTGGAATCTAAAGTAACCCCCAGTGATTTTGATACTGTTTCAAATTTGGATTTTTTCTTTTAGCCGTTTTTAGTAGTTTTCAGTGCTTCATATTTCTCCCACATTTTGTGAGAGGGAGAGGGAAGGAGAGAGGGGATGTTGAGGGAGGTGAGAGAGAGAGAGTGAGAGAGGGTGGTGACGGGGGAAGAGGGATGGAATGGGAGAGAGAGAGACTCAGCCACTACATCTAGCAAACTTTATCTTTAAATATTTGGACACAAATAAACTATTAGTCGCTTGAAAGATCTTTAAATATCTCTCTTGCATTAAGATATCAAGACAATGTTTTGACAGCCAGTGTTGCTTGAGTGTGGACTTGACAGCTGGTAGATTGCTATATTATCCCTCGAGTTCAGGCTTGACTAATCATTTTATCTTGCACCGGTTCAAATTTAACACATCATTAAATTAAGTAAAAACAGATTCAAAATACATATTCAGTACCTTTAATAAAGACACCTTTCTAAATCAGTGAGTAAGAGGACGGTCCTGGTCACTAACATAGCGGGCCAGGCACCCAGCACCTGGTCACTAACATAGCGGGCCAGGCACCCAGCACCTGGTCACTAACATAGCGGGCCAGGCACCCAGCACCTGGTCACTAACATAGCGGGCCAGGCACCCAGCACCTGGTCACTAACATAGCGGGCCAGGCACCCAGCACCTGGTCACTAACATAGCGGGCCAGGCACCCAGCACCTGGTCACTAACATAGCGGGCCAGGCACCCAGCACCTGGTCACTAACATAGCGGGCCAGGCACCCAGCACCTGGTCACTAACATAGCGGGCCAGGCACCCAGCACCTGGTCACTAACATAGCGGGCCAGGCACCCAGCACCTGGTCACTAACATAGCGGGCCAGGCACCCAGCACCTGGTCACTAACATAGCGGGCCAGGCACCCAGCACCTGGTCACTAACATAGCGGGCCAGGCACCCAGCACCTGGTCACTAACATAGCGGGCCAGGCACCCAGCACCTGGTCACTAACATAGCGGGCCAGGCACCCAGCACCTGGTCACTAACCTGGTGTGGCATCACTGGGGGTGTGGCATCACTGGGGTGTGGCGTCACTGGGGTGTGGCGTCACTGGGGTGTGGCGTCACTGGGGTGTGGCGTCACTGGTGTGTGGCGTCACTGGGGTGTGGCGTCACTGGGGTGTGGCGTCAATTGGGGTGTGGCGTCACTGGGGGTGTGGCGTCACTGGGGTGTGGCGTCAATTGGGGTGTGGCGTCACTGGGGGTGTGGCGTCACTGGGGTGTGGCGTCACTGGGGGTGTGGCGTCAATTGGGGTGTGGCGTCACTGGGGTGTGGCGTCACTTGGGGTGTGGCGTCACTGGGGTGTGGTGTCACTGGGGGTGTGGCGTCACTGGGGTGTGGTGTCACTGGGGGTGTGGCGTCACTGGGGTGTGGCGTCACTGGGGTGTGGCGTCACTGGGGGTGTGGCGTCACTGGGGGTGTGGCGTCACTGGGGTGTGGCGTCACTGGGGTGTGGCGTCACTGGGGTGTGGCGTCACTGGGGGTGTGGCGTCACTGGGGGTGTGGCGTCACTGGGGTGTGGCGTCACTGGGGGTGTGGCGTCACTGGGGTGTGGCGTCACTGGGGTGTGGCGTCACTGGGGGTGTGGCGTCACTGGGGGTGTGGCGTCACTGGGGTGTGGCGTCACTTGGGGTGTGGCGTCACTGGGGTGTGGTGTCACTGGGGGTGTGGCGTCACTTGGGGTGTGGTGTCACTTGGGGTGTGGCGTCACTGGGGTGTGGTGTCAATTGGGGTGTGGCGTCACTGGGGTGTGGCGTCACTGGGGTGTGGCGTCACTTGGGGTGTGGCGTCACTTGGGGTGTGGCGTCACTGGGGTGTGGCGTCACTGGGGTGTGGCGTCACTGGGGTGTGGCGTCACTGGGGTGTGGCGTCACTGGGGGTGTGGCGTCACTGGGGTGTGGGGCTTCACTTGGGGTGTGGCGTCACTTGGGGTGTGGCGTCACTGGGGTGTGGCGTCACTGGGGTGTGGCGTCACTGGGGTGTGGCGTCACTGGGGTGTGGCGTCACTGGGGTGTGGGGACACGGGGGTGTGGCGTCACTGGGGGTGTGGCGTCACTGGGGGTGTGGCGTCACTGGGGGTGTGGCGTCACTGGGGGTGTGGCATCACTGGGGGTGTGGCATCACTGGGGTGTGGCGTCATTGGGGTGTGGCGTCACTGGGGTGTGGCGTCACTGGGGTGTGGCATCACTGGGGAGTGGCGTCACTGGGGGTGTGGCGTCACTGGGGGTGTGGCGTCACTGGGGGTGTGGCGTCACTGGGGTGTGGCGTCACTGGGGTGTGGCATCACTGGGGTGTGGCGTCATTGGGGTGTGGCGTCACTGGGGTGTGGCGTCACTGGGGTGTGGCGTCACTGGGGTGTGGCGTCACTGGGGTGTGGCGTCACTGGGGTGTGGCGTCACTGGGGTGTGGCGTCACTGGGGGTGTGGCGTCACTGGGGGTGTGGCGTCACTGGGGGTGTGGCGTCACTGGGGGTGTGGCGTCACTGGGGGTGTGGCGTCACTGGGGGTGTGGCATCACTTGGGTGTGGCATCACTTGGGGTGTGGCGTCACTGGGGTGTGGCGTCACTTGGGGTGTGGCGTCACTGGGGTGTGGCGTCACTGGGGGTGTGGCGTCACTGGGGGTGTGGCATCACTGGGGTGTGGCATCACTGGGGGTGTGGCATCACTTGGGGTGTGGCGTCACTGGGGTGTGGCATCACTGGGGTGTGGCATCACTGGGGGTGTGGCATCACTGGGGGTGTGGCGTCACTGGGGTGTGGCGTCACTTGGGGTGTGGCATCACTGGGGTGTGGCGTCACTGGGGGTGTGGCATCACTTGGGGTGTGGCGTCACTGGGGTGTGGCATCACTGGGGTGTGGCATCACTGGGGGTGTGGCATCACTGGGGGTGTGGCATCACTTGGGGTGTGGCGTCACTGGGGTGTGGCATCACTGGGGTGTGGCATCACTGGGGGTGTGGCATCACTGGGGGTGTGGCGTCACTGGGGTGTGGCGTCACTTGGGGTGTGGCATCACTGGGGTGTGGCGTCACTGGGGGTGTGGCGTCACTGGGGGTGTGGCGTCACTGGGGTGTGGCGTCACTGGGGGTGTGGCGTCACTGGGGGTGTGGCGTCACTGGGGGTGTGGCGTCACTGGGGTGTGGCGTCACTGGGGGTGTGGCGTCACTGGGGGTGTGGCGTCACTGGGGGTGTGGCGTCACTGGGGTGTGGCGTCACTGGGGTGTGGCGTCACTGGGGGTGTGGCGTCACTTGGGGGTGTGGCCTCACTCGGGTGTGTAATTAGTCCTAGAAAAAATCATCATTTTCTTTTCCAAATTACCTTTGGCTTCCGATATTTTAACTATGGCCCAAAAGTACATACTTTTATTACAATTCAAAAAATCCCATGAAAAACGTTTCTAATTATTAAGTTATATGATTAAAAAGTAACATAACTTTGACAGCATTTTTGCCTCACTTGGTGAGGCATGTTAGTATATACCTCACCTGGGCAAGTGAGAGACGGGAGAGAGAGTGAGAGAGAATCTCTCAGCAGTTCCATTGATGCTGCGAATTTTCTTATTTGATGAAAATATTCAGTTGCTGAAACGTACACAAATAATATGATTAATTAACTTCAAAGATTAACATGAAATTTTTTCTCGTATAACATAATTTCACGAATGTTGTGTGTATGTGAGTGTAGTGTTGTTAAATATGGCTTTTAACTCTTGCTACACCATGGGACCGTTGCGAGAAGACAGTATACAGTTAGCACAGTCACCAGCATAACCCCCCCTTCCCCAGTCACTAGCATTACCCCCCTCCCCCAGTCACCAGCCTCAGGTCCCCCCCCCTGCACCAGGACGTGCCTGGGGTTCGAGTGTCCAGGAATAATCCACTAGGCCGGCCACGGTCCTCTTGCCTCCGATAGATCATTAGTAATGGAAGGATATCGTGCCGTCAATTAGCACATAATCTAATTTAGTGCACGAATTGACAGCATTTCTCAAGCGTCAAGTATGATGCTGGTGTATGGTGTTGACAGGACGGTGGGTCAACTCCCCAGGAGGCGCAGTAGCCAAGAGCGACGTCAATTCAACGCAGAATTAACGCCATCAACGTTGATTCATCGTCGAAGCAACGCCACTCTTGGGTATTGAGACTACTGGTCCAGGGGGCCAGATTCACGAAGTAGTTACGCAAGCACTTACGAACGTGTACATCTTTCCTCAATGTTTGACGGCTTTGGTTACATTTATTGAACAGTTTACAAGAATGAAAACGTCCCAATCAACTGTTGTTATTGTTATAAACAGCCTCCTGGTGCTTCGGAGCTCATTAACTCTTTAATAACTGCAAACAATGCCGCCAAAGATTGAGAAAAGATGTACAGGTTCGTAAGTGCTTGCGTAACTGCTTCGTGAATCTGGCCCCAGGCTTGTCTGAAGGATAAATGATTAATGACAAATTTAATTTGTTCTTATGAAGGCTTCTATATTTTCTTTATTTATTCATTCATTTTTGTTTATTCATTCTTCTTGTTTTTTCTTATCTAACTGAAAGGTTTTTTCTTGTTGTGGAAACTGGAACACAACATTTAATTATTCATTTTATGAAGGTTTAAATTAACACACATTTTCGGCTCACATTGACCGTTCAAAAATATAACAAATCTATATATTAGCGCTACAAGTGCCACTTGTAGCAGCTGTCACCCTGCGACACCTGCTGCTGCACCCGCCTCGCCCTCACCACGACTCGTCAAGCATTAACGCCTCCACTTACGAAGCCTGTACATCATTCATCAATCATGGTGGCATTGTTTACCGTTATTTTACGAGCTCCGAAGCACTACGGGGTTGTTTATAACCATAATAACCTTGGGTTGTGAAGTTTCCAAGCTCGTAAAGTGTTTAATAATCCCGGGCGGGACAGAAATGGTTGGGCACATTTCCTTTCACCTAATGCCTCTGTTCACCTAGCAGTAAAGTAGGTACTCAGGAGTGAGTCAGCTTGTTGTGGGGTTGCCTCCTGGGCGGGGCCAGTAATTCGGCCTATGGACCTCGATAAAACTCTAACGTGTATGAATACACACTGGCTTCCTGTCCCCCCCGACATAATGAATTGTTCTTAAAATAAATGTAAACAAAGCCGCCATGATCGTTGAAAGATATACCCGAATTTACCTGAGTGCAACCGTCTATGCAGTGGCCTCAACGGAGACAGGAAACCCGCGGCTTGTCAAAGGTCTCCCCATTTTTCCTGATGATTTTGAACTGCAGTCAAGATGTACTGGTTTCGTCAATTGATTTGTAAATGTTTGCTGAATGTTGACCCAGGTGGCCCTCTATGGTGGTGACCCAGGTGGCCCTCTATGGTGGGGGCCCAGGTGGCCCTCTATGGTGGTGGCCCAGGTGGCCCTCTATGGTAGTGGCCCAGGTGGCCCTCTATGGTGGTGGCCCAGGTGGCCCTCTATGGTGGTGGCCCAGGTGGCCCTCTATGGTGGTGGCCCAGGTGGCCCTCTATGGTGGTGGCCCAGGTGGCCCTCTATGGTGGTGGCCCAGGTGGCCCTCTATGGTGGTGGCCCAGGTGGCCCTCTATGGTGGTGGCCCAGGTGGCCCTCTATGGTGGTGGCCCTCTGTGGTGGTGACCCAGGTGGCCCTCTATGGTGGTGACCCAGGTGGCCCTCTATGGTGGTGGCCCAGGTGGCCCTCTATGGTGGTGGCCCAGGTGGCCCTCTATGGTGGTGGCCCAGGTGGCCCTCTATGGTGGTGGCCCAGGTGGCCCTCTATGGTGGTGGCCCAGGTGGCCCTCTATGGTGGTGGCCCAGGTGGCCCTCTATGGTGGTGGCCCAGGTGGCCCTCTATGGTGGTGGCCCAGGTGGCCCTCTATGGTGGTGGCCCAGGTGGCCCCCTATGGTGGTGGCCCAGGTGGCCCTCTATGGTGGTGGCCCAGGTGGCCCTCTATGGTGGTGGCCCAGGTGGCCCTCTATGGTGGTGGCCCAGGTGGCCCTCTATGGTGGTGGCCCAGGTGGCCCTCTATGGTGGTGGCCCAGGTGGCCCTCTATGGTGGTGGCCCAGGTGGCCCTCTATGGTGGTGGCCCAGGTGGCCCTCTATGGTGGTGGCCCAGGTGGCCCTCTATGGTGGTGGCCCAGGTGGCCCTCTATGGTGGTGGCCCAGGTGGCCCTCTATGGTGGTGACCCAGGTGGCCCTCTGTGGTGGTGGCCCAGGTGGCCCTCTATGGTGGTGACCCAGGTGGCCCTCTGTGGTGGTGGCCCAGGTGGCCCTCTATGGTGGTGACCCAGGTGGCCCTCTATGGTGGTGACCCAGGTGGCCCTCTATGGTGGTGACCCAGGTGGCCCTCTATGGTGGTGACCCAGGTGGCCCTCTGTGGTGGTGGCCCAGGTGGCCCTCTATGGTGGTGACCCAGGTGGCCCTCTATGGTGGTGACCCAGGTGGCCCTCTGTGGTGGTGGCCCCAGGTGGCCCTCTATGGTGGTGACCCCAGGTGGCCCTCTATGGTGGTGGCCCTCTATGGTGGTGACCCAGGTGGCCCTCTATGGTGGTGACTCAGGTGGCCCTCTATGGTGGTGACTCAGGTGGCCCTCTATGGTTGTGACCCAGGTGGCCCTCTATGGTGGTGGCCCGAGCATGACCCAAGGCCACACCTGGGTGACCTGCTCTTGGCCACACCTGTTCCCGGCAGGTGTGTCGTAGTATAGAGCCTGCTCCTAGTTCCGTATCTGCCCGCGTTAATTGTTGGGTCCTTGTCCCTTAACAAGACATTAGAGGAGTGTTGGGCGAGTGTTCGATCCTCTCAGCGTCCTACAGTTCTGGTGATGGTCCTTATCTGTTCTTAAAGTGTGTGGTGGTCCTTTGTACAGGATCTGCATCAGTGTTGGAGACGTCGCCGGCTGAGTGTTGGAGGTGGGAGACGTCGCCAGCTGAGTGTTGGAGGTTGGAGACGTCGCCCGCTGAGTGTTGGAGGTAGGAGACGTCGCCCGCTGAGTGTTGGAGGTAGGAGACGTCGCCAGCTGAGTGTTGGAGGTAGGGAGACGTCGCCAGCTGAGTGTTGGAGGTAGGGAGACGTCGCCAGCTGAGTGTTGGAGGTAGGAGACGTCGCCAGCTGAGTGTTGGAGGTAGGGAGACGTCGCCAGCTGAGTGTTGGAGGTAGGGAGACGTCGCCAGAAAGAGTGTTGGAGGTAGGAGACGTCGCCGGCTGAGTGTTGGAGGTGGGAGACGTCGCCGGCTGAGTGTTGGAGGTGGGAGACGTCGCCAGCTGAGTGTTGGAGGTGGGAGACGTCGCCAGCTGAGTGTTGGAGGTGGGAGACGTCGCCAGCTGAGTGTTGGAGGTAGGAGACGTCGCCGGCTGAGTGTTGGAGGTGGGAGACGTCGCCAGCTGAGTGTTGGAGGTAGGAGACGTCGCCAGCTGAGTGTTGGAGGTAGGAGACGTCGCCGGCTGAGTGTTGGAGGTGGGAGACGTCGCCGGCTGAGTGTTGGAGGTGGGAGACGTCGCCAGCTGAGTGTTGGAGGTGGGAGACGTCGCCAGCTGAGTGTTGGAGGTGGGAGACGTCGCCGGCTGAGTGTTGGAGGTGGGAGACGTCGCCAACTGAGTGTTGGAGGTAGGGAGACGTCGCCAGCTGAGTGTTGGAGGTAGGAGACGTCGCCAGCTGAGTGTTGGAGGTGGGAGACGTCGCCGGCTGAGTGTTGGAGGTGGGAGACGTCGCCAGCTGAGTGTTGGAGGTAGGAGACGTCACCAGCTGAGTGTTGGAGGTAGGAGACGTCGTCAGCTGAGTGTTGGAGGTAGGAAGACGTCGCCAGCTGAGTGTTGGAGGTAGGAGACGTCACCAGCTGAGTGTTGGAGGTGGGAGACGTCGCCAGCTGAGTGTTGGAGGTAGGGAGACGTCGCCAGCTGAGTGTTGGAGGTGGGAGACGTCGCCAGCTGAGTGTTGGAGGTGGGAGACGTCGCCAGCTGAGTGTTGGAGGAAGGAGACGTCGCCAGCTGAGTGTTGGAGGTAGGAGACGTCGCCGGCTGAGTGTTGGAGGTGGGAGACGTCGCCGGCTGAGTGGTGCAAGAGATAACACAACTGATGGCTGGAGGAGAGAGGTGTCACAGGGAAGGTTCATCTATACACCAACATTTCCAGCAGCTGTGACAAGTATCGAGTTGTTTGTGATGTAGTTAGCACAGGCGGCCAATTAGTCGACGAGGACGGTATCGACGCGTGGCGGAGGTGAGGAACTCTGCCCGGGACCCCGGTGGCCCCCGCGGGCAGTAACTAATTAACGAGACTGGTACACACACAAGGTTATTGGAAGTGTCTTGTGTGTAGTTCAGCCCGTCCTCTAAAAAGGGGGGAGGTAAATGTAACAGGCCCATAAGTGCAATTATGTACTATGTATGACAATCAGGAATTGTACTTATTTACACTTAGTATTAAATCGTACTGTCAAATATATTGTGAATATTTGAGATTACCTGAAAAGCTGAATAGAAAACCACGACCTAACCTAACCGTCTTAGTTTTTAAAGATAAGCATTTTATTGCTTCTCTTAATTACAATTACTACTTAACTTATAGCTATATTGATATTACAGTTTTATAAAACAAATAAAACGCAACTAAAATATTTAAATAAATTGTAAAGTAACTCAGGATATTTTCAAATTTTGTATAAAATCTCTTGTTTAATAAAAGTGAAAAAGAAATTCCTGATATTTAAAACTTGTGTATAGCAAACTGAACTTGATAACTTCATCCTAGAATTCTGAGTGTCTTAACAGAAAACGAGGAAAATTAAATGGGGAGGTAAATGTAACAGCCCCATAAGTGTATGACAGTCAGGAACTGTACTTATTACACTTAGTATTAAAACGTACTGTCAATTCTGAGGCTGGGTTGCATAGTGATGCTGCCTTCAGGCGTGGAGAGACGTGGCTGCTGCCTGGGGGTAGTGGGTGGACAAGGTGAAGGATTCGACTAGTATTACCTGGAGTTGCCTGGTTCAGAATGGTCCAATTCAGTAGGCAAGTTCAGAAGGCCCCCCAAAGTCTTGGAGTCAAATGAACTAATTTGATCTTAATGATCCTTAGAGGTCATCTGAGATTGGATTACTCACACAGAGGCCCTGTATTCGTAACGACTTCCACAGGTACTTATAACTCTGACAGGACTGAGGTGTACAACAGTGTTAATCAAACTTGTAATCATATATGGATCAATATTTATTTGAATTGTGATTACATAAAAACATAAATAGTAAGGAAACTGTAAAACTCCTGTTATCCCATTCCAGGCAGGACCTGTATAAATCTACCCAAAATAATTCTTACATATGTTTAACCTACGATTGAAACAATCAGATAATCTATTATAATCACCGTGTATTATGTTACCCGGTAATCTGTTCCAAAATCAACAACCCTGTTTCTTAAGCAGCAATTGGCCAAATCTTTCATAAATCTGAACATATCCAATTTTTATCCATTGTTTCGTGTAATATTTTGTGTTGGTATATTTAGTATTTCAATATTTCTATTGTTGTGGCCTTTCATTCGCCTGTACACTTGTACACTTCAATCATGTCACCCGTAACTCATCGCCTCATATCTATGCCTATTTAGACAGACTGTCTAGAGTTGAAGGCCGAACGCTAGCCTCACCCAAATTAGCAGGAGGAATGGTCTGGGGTACTGGACGGACGTTGGCTGGTCGGGGAGATGAGAAAATTCCTAAGAGAGATACCATGGAAAAAAGACGTGATGGATTATTTCACCCAAAGGCGTCAGGAGGCAGTAAACAAGTTTACCCCGGCCCAAAAGGAAAAAAATGAGAAGGAAAAGAGGAATCCATGGTTTAATAAGGCATGTATGGAAGCAAAAGAACTAAAGACAAGAGCGTGGAGGAACTACTGAAATAACAGAACACCAGAGAGCAGTGATACCAGAGGGCCAGGAATGAGTATCTCAGTTTGAGAAGAGTCAGAGAGGCAGTATGGAAATGACAGCAAATAAAGACCAAACGAAAACTGCTCTACAGTCACATCAGGAAGAAAACAACAGTGAAGGAACTTGATGAAACTGAGAACAGGTGAGGACAGGTACACAGAGAATGACAGAGATATGTGTGAAGAACTCGACAAGAGATTCCAGGAGGTCTTCACAGTAGAACGAGGAGAGGTCCCTGAACTAGGAGTAGTAGTAGTAAACCAGTTAGCATTGGAAGGGTTCAAAATTACCAGATTATAAATTATCTATCATAATAGAGCCCAATAGGCTCAAGAATCTGAACCCTGGTTGATTGACAATTGAGACGCTTGACAAAGAGCCGAAGCAAAACCCTTGCAAGCACAATTAGGTGAGTACATCCCCTCAACACTCCCGCATCCCCACTGCTCCCCTACACCACCCTCACATCCCCACAGCACCCCTACACCACCCTCACATCCCCACTGCACCCCTACATCACCCTCACATCCCCACTGCTCCCCTACACCACCCTCACATCCCCACTGCTCCCCTACACCACCCTCACATCCCCACTGCACCCCTACATCACCCTCACATCCCCACTGCTCCCCTACACCACCCTCACATCCCCACTGCTCCCCTACACCACCCTCACATCCCCACTGCTCCCCTACACCACCCTCACATCCCCACTGCTCCCCTACACCACCCTCACATCCCCACTGCACCCCTACAACACCCTCACATCCCCAATGCACCCCTACACTACCCTCACATCCCCACTGCTCCCCTACACCACCCTCACATCCCCACTGCACCCCTCCACCACCCACACATCCCCACAGCACCCCTACACCACCCGCACATCCCCGCAGCTCCCCTACACCACCCACACATCCCCACTGCTCCCCTACACCACCCACACATCCCCACTGCTCCCCTACACCACCCTCACATCCCCACAGCACCCCTACACCACCCGCACATCCCCACAGCTCCCCTACACCACCCACACATCCCCACTGCTCCCCTACACCACCCACACATCCCCACTGCTCCCCTACACCACCCTCACATCCCCACTGCACCCCTACACCACCCTCACATCCCCACAGCACCCCTACACCACCCTCACATCCCCACTGCTCCCCTACACCACCCTCACATCCCCACTGCTCCCCTACACCACCCACACATCCCCACTGCTCCCTTACACCACCCACACATCCCCACTGCTCCCCTACACCACCCTCACATCCCCACTGCACCCCTACACCACCCTCACATCCCCACTGCACCCCTCCACCACCCACACATCCCCACAGCTCCCCTACACCACCCACACATCCCCACTGCTCCCCTACACCACCCACACATCCCCACTGCTCCCCTACACCACCCACACATCCCCACTGCACCCCTACACCACCCTCACATCCCCACTGCAGCCCTCCACCACCTACACATCCCCACAGCACCCCTACACCACCCGCACATCCCCGCAGCTCCCCTACACCACCCACACATCCCCACTGCTCCCCTACACCACCCACACATCCCCACTGCTCCCCTACACCACCCTCACATCCCCACAGCACCCCTACACCACCCGCACATCCCCACAGCTCCCCTACACCACCCACACATCCCCACTGCTCCCCTACACCACCCACACATCCCCACTGCTCCCCTACACCACCCTCACATCCCCACTGCACCCCTACACCACCCTCACATCCCCACAGCACCCCTACACCACCCTCACATCCCCACTGCTCCCCTACACCACCCTCACATCCCCACTGCTCCCCTACACCACCCACACATCCCCACTGCTCCCTTACACCACCCACACATCCCCACTGCTCCCCTACACCACCCTCACATCCCCACTGCACCCCTACACCACCCTCACATCCCCACTGCACCCCTCCACCACCCACACATCCCCACAGCTCCCCTACACCACCCACACATCCCCACTGCTCCCCTACACCACCCACACATCCCCACTGCTCCCCTACACCACCCACACATCCCCACTGCACCCCTACACCACCCTCACATCCCCACTGCACCCCTCCACCACCCACACATCCCCACAGCACCCCTACACCACCCACACATCCCCACTGCTCCCCTACACCACCCTCACATCCCCACAGCACCCTTACACCACCCTCACATCCCCACTGCTCCCCTACACCACCCTCACATCCCCACAGCACCCTTACACCACCCTCACATCCCCACTGCTCCCCTACACCACCCTCACATCCCCACTGCTCCTCTACACCACCCTCACATCCCCACTGCTCCCCTACACCACCCTCACATCCCCACAGCACCCTTACACCACCCTCACATCCCCACTGCACCCCTACACCACCCTCACATCCCCACTGCTCCTCTACACCACCCTCACATCCCCACTGCTCCTCTACACCACCCTCACTCCCGTCCTCCGAACACTAGTTGGCTGCCACACACAGATTGGATGAAAACCCTCAAGATATTCAATCTAAAGTTACGTCTCTCTCAATCTGGTTCAGCAGCCAGTCATCCCGTCCTCTTGACAGGTGAGCGGACGCTGGCTGTGGCCCACCATGTTTGTGACGCCTCTACACCCCCACACAGTGCGTCGACTTGGCTCTGGTACCTCTGATGATGTGGCTCTGGTACCCCTGATGATGTGGCTCTGGTACCCCTGATGATGAGGCTATGGTACCCCTGATGATGTGGCTCTGGTACCCCTGATGATGTGGCTCTGGTACCCCTGATGATGTGGCTGTCGTACCTCTGGTGATGTGGCTGTGGTACCCCTGATGATGTGGCTCTGGTACCCCTGATGATATGGCTCTGGTACCCCTGATGATGAGGCTCTGGTACCCGTGATGATGTGTCTCTGGTACGAGGCTCTGGTACCCGTGATGATGTGTCTCTGGTACCCGTGATGATGTGGCTCTGGTACCCCTGATGATGTGGCTCTGGTACTCCTGATGATGTGGCTCTGGTACCCCTGATGATGTGGCTCTGGTACCTCTGGTGATGTGGCTCTGGTACCCCTGATGATGTGGCTCTGGTACCTCTGCTGATGTGGCTCTGGTACCCCTGATGATGTGGCTCTGGTACCTCTGATGATGTGGCTCTGGTACCTCTGATGATGAGGCTCTGGTACCTCTGATGATGAGGCTCTGGTACCCCTAATGATGTGGCTCTGGTACCCCTGATGATGTGGCTCTGGTACCCCTGATGATGTGGCTCTGGTACCCCTGATGATGTGGCTCTGGTACCCCGGATGATGAGGCTATGGTACCCCTGATGATGTGGCTCTGGTACCCCTGATGATGTGGCTCTGGTACCCCTGTTGATGTGGTTCTGGTACCCCTGATGATATGGCTCTGGTACCCCTGATGATGAGGCTCTGGTACCCGTGATGATGTGTCTCTGGTACCCGTGATGATGTGACTCTGGTACCCCTGATGATGTGGCTCTTGTACTCCTGATGATGTGGCTCTGGTACCCCTGATGATGTGGCTCTGGTACCTCTGGTGATGTGGCTCTGGTACCCCTGATGATGTGGCTCTGGTACCTCTGCTGATGTGGCTCTGGTACCCCTGATGATGTGGCTCTGGTACTCCTGATGATGTGGCTCTGGTACCTCTGATGATGTGGCTCTGGTACCCCTGATGATGTGGCTCTGGTACCCCCTGATGATGTGGCTCTGGTACCCCTGATGATGTGGCTCTGGTACCCCTGATGATGTGGCTCTGGTACCCCTGATGATGATGCTCTGGTGCCCTTGATGATGTGGCTCTGGTGCCCTTGATGATGTGGCTCTGGTACCCCTGATGATGTGGCTCTGGTACCCCCTGATGATGTGGCTCTGGTACCCCTGATGATGTGGCTCTGGTACCCCTGATGATGTGGCTCTGGTACCCCTGATGATGAGGCTCTGGTACCCCTGATGATGTGGCTCTGGTACCCCTGATGATGAGGCTCTGGTACCCCTGATGATGTGGCTCTGGTACTGATGATGTGGCTCTGGTACCTCTGATGATGAGGCTCTGGTACCCCTGATGATGTGGCTCTGGTACCCCTGATGATGTGGCTCTGGTACCCGTGATGATGAGGCTCTGGTACCCGTGATGATGTGTCTCTGGTACCTGTGATGATGTGGCTCTGGTATCACTGATGATGTGGCTCTCGTACCCTTGATGATGTGACTCTGGTACCTGTGATGATGTGGCTCTCGTACCCTTGATGATGTGTCTCTGGTACCCGTGATGATGAGGAGGCACTTAACTACAGACCCGTATCGCTGACAAACATCCCCTGCAAAATACTTGAAAGAATAATTAGGCTAAGACTTGTTGAGCACCTGGAGAGCATTGGGTTTGTAAACAAGCACCAACATGGGTTCTGGACAGGAAAATCATGCCTAACAAACCTTTTAGAATTCTATGACAAAGTAACAAGGATAAGGCAGGACAGAGAAGGCTGGGCAGACTGCATATTTCTTGACTGCCAAAAGGCCTTTGATACAGTACCGCACCGCCGGGAATACTAACACTGTATACATCATACATAAGGGTGCATTTGGTGGTATGAATAACGTGTCCGAAGCCCATTTTTGGTTATGTGACAGAGTCGTTTTGACACACATGACACGGACCGTGACAGTGAGATACACGCTGACAGTGACACAGTTCCACATGACACTTGACTAAGGTGATGACAGAGTGAACCTGTGGATGACGTGTGGGAGGACGGTCACTGGCGGAGGGGTGCTGCACCTCTAATGTGACTGGCCGCCCCTCCAGTGTGGCCGATCGAATCCCATTTCCTGCGGCAAGTTAAGGATTCGATGAGGACAATCTTCAGCCAGGATATACCTCTATTCTCTCTCTCTCTCTCTCTCTCTCTCTCTCTCTCTCTCTCTCTCTCTCTCTCTCTCTCTCTCTCTCTCTCTCTCTCTCTCTCTCTCTCTCTGCCCGTGCTCTTTTCCCCCCTCTCTCCCCCTCCCTTCCAGCTTTCCCTTCCCTCATTCCTTTCCCTCTCTACCTTCTTTCCATACTTTCCTCTCCCTCCCTCCCTCTCTCCTTCCCTTCCCTCTCCCTTCTCTCCTCTCAACCTCCTCTACCCCCTTCTCGCTACTTCCCTCCCTTCTCTCTCTCTCTCCTTCCTTCCCTTCTTTCTGTCTCCCCTCTAACCATGGGTGTAACCATGGGTGTCTGCCTGGGAGTAACCATGGGTGTCTGCCTGGGTGTAACCATGGGTGTCTGCCTGGGTGTAACCATGGGTGTCTGCCTGGGTGTAACCATGGGTGTCTGCCTGGGTATAACCATAGGTGTCTGCCTGGGTGTAACCATGGGTGTCTGCCTGGGTGTAACCATGGGTGTCTGCCTGGGTGTAACCATGGGTGTCTGCCTGGGTGTAACCATGGGTGTCTGCCTGGGTATAACCATAGGTGTCTGCCTGGGTGTAACCATGGGTGTCTGCCTGGGTGTAACCATGGGTGTCTGCCTGGGTGTAACCATGGGTGTCTGCCTGGGTGTAACCATGGGTGTCTGCCTGGGTGTAACCATAGGTGTAACCATGGGTGTCTGCCTGGGTGTAACCATAGGTGTCTGCCTGGGTGTAACCATGGGTGTCTGCCTGGGTGTAACCATGGGTGTCTGCCTGGGTGTAACCATAGGTGTCTGCCTGGGTGTAACCATGGGTGTCTGCCTGGGTGTAACCATGGGTGTCTGCCTGGGTGTAACCATAGGTGTCTGCCTGGGTGTCGACTCTGCTCTGGTTGGGTGCAGCGGAGGGTATAGGTCCGGTCATTCTCGTGTCCAGGAGGGTTGGGGGTATGTGTTAGTGTGGTTGTGGGGTGTGGCGAGGAAGGGGGAGGGGGTGTGGCGAGGAAGGGGGAGGGGGTGTGGCGAGGAAGGGGGAGGGGGTGTGGCGAGGAAGGGGGAGGGGGTGTGGCGAGGAAGGGGGAGGGGGTGTGGCGAGGAAGGGGGAGGGGGTGTGGCGAGGAAGGGGGAGGGGGTGTGGCGAGGAAGGGGGAGGGGGTGTGGCGAGGAAGGGGGAGGGGGTGTGGCGAGGAAGGGGGAGGGGGTGTGGCGAGGAAGGGGGAGGGGGTGTGGCGAGGAAGGGGGAGGGGGTGTGGCGAGGAAGGGGGAGGGGGTGTGGCGAGGAAGGGGGAGGGGGTGTGGCGAGGAAGGGGGAGGGGGTGTGGCGAGGAAGGGGGAGGAGGTGTGTGGCGAGGAAGGGGGAGGGGGTGTGGCGAGGAAGGGGGAGGGGGGGGGTGTGGCGAGGAAGGGGGAGGGGGAGTGTGGCGAGGAAGGGGGAGGGGGTGTGGCGAGGAAGGGGGAGGGGGTGTGGCGAGGAAGGGGGAGGGGGTGTGGCGAGGAAGGGGGAGGAGGTGTGGCGAGGAAGGGGGAGGAGGTGTGGCGAGGAAGGGGGAGGAGGGCGAGGAAGGGGGAGGAGGTGTGGCGAGGAAGGTGGAGGGGGTGTGGCGAGGAAGGGGAAGGGGGGTGTGGCGAGGAAGGGGAAGGGGGGTGTGGCGAGGAAGGGGGAGGAGGTGTGGCGAGGAAGGGGGAGGGGGTGTGGCGAGGAAGGGGGAGGAGGTGTGGCGAGGAAGGGGGAGGGGGTGTGGCGAGGAAGGGGGAGGAGGTGTGGCGAGGAAGGGGGGAGGGGGTGTGGCGAGGAAGGGGGAGGAGGTGTGGCGAGGAAGGGGGAGGGGGTGTGGCGAGGAAGGGGGAGGAGGTGTGGCGAGGAAGGGGAAGGGGGGTGTGGCGAGGAAGGGGAAGGGGGGTGTGGCGAGGAAGGGGGAGGAGGTGTGGCGAGGAAGGGGGAGGGGGTGTGGCGAGGAAGGGGGAGGGGGTGTGGCGAGGAAGGGGGAGGGGGGGGGGTGTGGCGAGGAAGGGGGAGGGGGTGTGGCGAGGAAGGGGGAGGGGGTGTGGCGAGGAAGGGGGAGGGGGGTGTGGCGAGGAAGGGGGAGGGGGTGTGGCGAGGATGGGGGAGGGGGTGTGGCGAGGAAGGGGGAGGGAGTGTGGCGAGGAAGGGGGAGGGGGTGTGGCGAGGAAGGGGGAGGAGGTGTGGCGAGGAAGGGGGAGGGGGTGTGGCGAGGAAGGGGGAGGGGGTGTGGCGAGGAAGGGGGAGGTGTGGCGAGGAAGGGGGAGGGGGTGTGGCGAGGAAGGGGGAGGAGGTGTGGCGAGGAAGGGGGAGGAGGTGTGGCGAGGAAGGGGAGGAGGTGTGGCGAGGAAGGGGGAGGGGGTGTGGCGAGGAAGGGGGAGGGGGTGTGGCGAGGAAGGGGGAGGGGGTGTGGCGAGGAAGGGGGAGGGGGTGTGGCGAGGAAGGGGGAGGGGGTGTGGCGAGGAAGGGGGAGGGGGTGTGGCGAGGAAGGGGGAGGGGGTGTGTGGTAGTGTGGTCGAGGTCCTGCCAGTCACTAGATGTTTCGTCTCTACTCTCATGAAATCTGTGATTTATGTTCCTGCCGCTCCTGCTTTGTCATGAATCGTTCTATATAAACATTATAGTAACTCCCTGACCTTCTTAGTAAATGATTGTGCTCCAATATATACCCATCTGCATGTACAGTGGTAAACTCTACCAAAACGGGTCAATTCGTAGTACTCTGAGAATATGGTCCACTGTGGTTTGATCTCCCAACCTCCGTCATCGCTCGGTCAGCATACAATCATCTCTTCATCTCTGCCAGCTCTAAGTCTTTCATATTGTATCCTCTCGTGTTGTGAAGGCTTGCGTTCCTCATTAGTTCCTGTATTACTGTTGTTCTTGTCTTCTGTGGTTCCTTGTCCTCATCTCTCTCATCAGTGCTTCATGTCCCTTGAGGTATTGTGCCCCACCGTGCTTTCTCTTTGTCGTTCTAATTTCCATGTTGCTCCCTCCATCTTCACATGTTCCTGAGGTGCTTTGTTATATTTCCAATTTGTCCTCTAGCTGTTGCAGTCTTGCCTCCCCATCTCTCCCCAGCTTGGTCACTGCCCCCTGTGGTTGACCCCACCTATGCTGCCCCTGTGGTTGACCCCACCTATGCTGCCCCTGTGGTTGACCCCACCTATGCTGCTCCTGTGGATGACCCCACCTATGCTGCCCCTGTGGCTGACCCCACCTCTGCTGCCCCTGTGGTTGACCCCACCTCTGCTGCCCCTGTGGTTGACCCCACCTATGCTGCCCCTGTGGTTGACCCCACCTATGCTGCCCCTGTGGTTGACCCCACCTATGCTGCCATGTGGTTGACCCCACCTATGCTGCCCCTGTGGTTGACCCCACCTATGCTGCCCCTGTGGTTGACCCCATCTATGCTGCCATGTGGTTGACCCCACCTATGCTGCCCCTGTGGTTGACCCCACCTATGCTGCCCCTGTGGTTGACCCCACCTATGCTGCCCCTGTGGTTGACCCCACCTTTGCTGCCCCTGTGGTTGACCCCACCTCTGCTGCCCCTGTGGTTGACCCCACCTTTGCTGCCCCTGTGGTTGACCCCACCTTTGCTGCCCCTGTGGTTGACCCCACCTATGCTGCCCCTGTGGTTGACCCCACCTATGCTGCCCCTGTGGTTGACCCCACCTATGCTGCCCCTGTGGTTGACCCCACCTTTGCTGCCCCTGTGGTTGACCCCACCTATGCTGCCCCTGTGGTTGACCCCACCTATGCTGCCCCTGTGGTTGACCCCACCTATGCTGCCCCTGTGGTTGACCCCACCTATGCTGCCCCTGTGGTTGACCCCACCTATGCTGCCCCTGTGGTTGACCCCACCTATGCTGCTGCTCCTGTGGTTGACCCCACCTATGCTGCCCCTGTGGTTGACCCCACCTCTGCTGCTCCTGTGGTTGACCCCACCTATGCTGCCCCTGTGGTTGACCCCACCTCTGCTGCCCCTGTGGTTGACCCCACCTATGCTGCCCCTGTGGTTGACCCCACCTATGCTGCCCCTGTGGTTGACCCCACCTCTGCTGCCCCTGTGGTTGACCCCACCTATGCTGCCCCTGTGGTTGACCCCACCTCTGCTGCCCCTGTGGTTGACCCCACCTATGCTGCCCCTGTGGTTGACCCCACCTATGCTGCCCCGGTCTCCTGGCTTATGTCTTCCCCACGCCCCTTCCCCCCGGCTATGTCTATTCTAAGTTAGTTTCTCTTTTTCTATAATCTTTCCATTACTGCCCCTTACTCTGTTTCCCTCTTCCTAATTTCTACTTTATAATATCCCTCTATCCATTGGGCTGTTTGGTCATTTAACATTCACATTTTATATCTAAGTACTTTTTTCCTTTCTGATATTATCTCCTTAACCTAAAGTTTACTCCTTTCTACCCATGCCCCCAAAGCTCTCTCTACAGTCCTGTCTACTCCTGCAACTGTGAATTCCTCCATGCTGGTCCTGGACCTAGTTACTCTTCCTGTGCCAGTCACTACAAGACTACCTTAAGAAGAGAGTACCAATTACCTCACCCTCCTGCTAGCACAACTGGTGATGTCTGCCAGTACGTCGTCTTCAAAGTCTTGAAGTTCCAATTTCTTCATTCCCAGTTCCCAGCAGTGCCAGTTCACTTTCCACTATTCAAATTCCAGTACCCCTTCTCTGTATCTTCCCCCCCCCCTTACACACACTCAGAGCACGGTTGGTTTACGTCTGACCCCAGTGGTGGTCAGGTCACGACTGTACTCACCTATTTGTGTCTGCAGGATCGAGCATTGACTCTTGGATCCCGCCTTTCGAGCCATCGGTTGTATACAGCAATGACTCCGGTCTTATTTCACTATCATACCTAGTTTTAAAATTATGAATAGTATTTGCTTCCACAACCTGTTCCTTAAGTGCATTCCATTTTCCCACTACTCTCACACTAAAAGAAAACTTCATAACATCTCTGTGACTCATCTGAGTTTCCAGCTTCCACCCATGTCCCCTCGTTCTGTTACTATTCCGTGTGAACATTTCGTCTATATCCACTCTGTCAATCCCCCTGAGTATTTTATACGTTCCTATCATGTCCCCCTTCTCCCTTCCTTTTTCTAGTGTCGTAAGGCACAATTTCTTCAAGCGCTCCTCATACCCCATCCCTCGTAACTCTAGGACGAGTCTCGTTGCAAACCTCTGAACCTTTTCCAGTTTCCTTATATGCTTCTTCAGATGGGGACTCCATGATCAGGCGGCATACTCTAAGACTGGCCTTCACGTAGGCAGTGTAAAGCGCCCTAAATGCCTCCTTACTTAGGCTTCTGAATGATGTTATAACTTTTGCTAGTGTAGAGTACGCTGCTGTCGTTATCCTATTTATATGTGCCTCAGGAGATAGATTAGGTGTTACGTCCACCCCCAGGTCTCTTTCGCGCGTCGTCACAGGTAGGCTGTTCCCCTTCATTGTGTACTGTCCCTTTGGTCTCCTATCACCTAGTCCCATTTCCATAACTTTACATTTGCTCGTGTATAACTCCAGTAGCCATTTCTCTGACCATCTCTGCAACCTGTTCAGATCCTCTTGGAGGATCCTGCAATCCTCATCTGTCACAACTATTCTCATCAACTTTGCGTCATGCGTGAATGTCGACATGTAGGACTCTACGCCTGTAAACATGTCGTTAACATATATTAGAAATAGAATTGGTCCCAGTACCGATCCTTAAGGTACTCCACTCGTTATTCTTCGCCAGGCCCGCCTTCTCGCCCCTTACCGTAACTCTTTGGCTCCTTCCTGTTAGGTAGTTCCTTACCCATGCTAGGGCCTTTCCTCCCACCCCCGCCTGCCTCTCGAGTTTGAACAGCAGTCTCATGTGCGGTACTGTATCAAAGGCTTTTTGGCAGTCCAGAAATAT